TTCTGTCTAATGCTGCTTGTTTGGTTATCTGGGGTCCTTGGAGGGTAATTGATGGGGAAAAAAACTCTAAAAAACCCATCTGGAACACTAATGTAACTTGTTGCTTTGTTCTTCTCTATTATAGCAGCTATTATGGGAATTAGCTATCACTTAGATGATTTTTTTTTTGCATATAGAAAAAAAGAGTTCTTTTCATGAAATCTCTCCAAGAAGAGACAATCATCATCACAGGGCATTTTTGTGGGGTTTGTTCATGCTCTTGACATTGTACCTGACAGAAGCAGTGAGAAAGGCATTTTTTCCCTGAAGCAATGCATGAATTTCTCTCTTGCAGGTTTTAGGCTGGTACCCCATGCGTCTCATGCAAGGTGTGCACTCTGCTTTAGATCCAGCAGAGCAGAAACACAGCTAGCTGAGTAGATTTTCTAGGTCAGAAATGTTCTGTGGTTCCACCCAGGCTTTCAATATTGACCAAAGAATTTTGGGTTTTGCGGCAGAAACGCGCAGAAAGGGTGAGGAATGGAAGGAATTATTTGTTCCATCCCTCTGCTGCACATGAGGAACTGGTAAGTGCTTCAAGCCAACTTTTAGTTGTCAGCCAGCTCTGTGGCAGGAGGTTTTATCAATGTTACCAGGGTGTATTTCAGTGTCAGAAAGGGACTGGGAAGATGGGGGAATGCATTGATGGTTAATACATTGCAAAACTTCCTGCCTAAATTTTCTCCTGCCACTGCCACCAGTGATCCTTAGTCAGTCATGCGTCTCCCTGAGGGCTTGTTTTGGCGTGTTTGCCATGCTGTGCCACATTTGCAGCATTCTGTTGTGTTTCTCTCTCCTTGGGTTGGGCTTGGATAGGGGAACCAGTCGTTGTTTCTGGAGAGCCTGTGCCCAGGAGTGTGGCTGGGTGGTGGTTGTGTGTACCTTCACCTTGGCACCAGAACTGAGCAAGTCTCTTTGCACTTCTCACATTTCCTGAGCCTCTCTCTTTGGATTTCCCTGCCAGATGTTTCCCATTCATTCCATATTGGTTTCCATTACCACCTTGAAAATTGACTTGAGGTGGAAATGAATATTGCAATTATTTTGCTGACTTTTGCATAAATTAGTGTCATTTTCTCTTAAACCTCCTGCCATTTTGGACAAGCGTAGTTTATAAAAAAATAATAGTAGCCACTTGAAAGTGTTTGTTTGTGAGTTCAGGGAAGGGCTTGGTTTTGTGTCCTTTAAGATGCCTGGCTCCCAAAGCAATATTCTGGTTTTGAGGCAAAAATCTGAGCCCTTGTCTTGCTCCTCATGAGCATCCTGAGTGTTTCTCACATGCATGCTCCTGTGGCTGCCCTGGCAGGGGTTGAGCGGAGGGTGCAGAAAGCAGAGACACAGCTTTGTGTGGAGTTGTTGTTCATGGGAGCCCAGTGCCAGCACACAAGAGTTAAATGGAACTCTGTAAAATCCTTAACACTGCACTTGATGTTCTCTTTAGGAATCACGAAGCATGTAACGTCCTTATGTTCTCCAAAGGGTTTATTTGGCAGCCTGTTAGCATCTCACTGTGACATGACTGAAGGGGGAATAACCACAACAACAAGGTGCAGGCAAAGGGAGGCAGCAGACACCAAATTGGAGTAACGGCTTCATAGCACAGTACTCTTGAACCTGTGACTCTTCTTTTCTTTCCCTGGATGGGTATCAGGCCTTGATGACCTTGAAGACAACATCATGCTGGTCAAATGGTGATTGAGACTCAAATAATTGTCCTTAAGATTGCCAGTCACTGCTGAATTCCAGTATGTATGAGGATGTGCAGTCCAACAGAGGGTTTGCTCATTCATTTGCTCTTCGGCAATTATCTGGATTTTAGGCCCAGAAAAGTATTTTTGCAGCTAATCAGGAGCATTGTGAAGTTGCAAGGTGAATATTTCCATCATTGGGAAAGGAGCTCTGTGTTATAGGTGGAGGTGGCTGCTTATGTAAGTGATTAGGGTAGGAAAATGAACGAAAAGGGGTGAGCAAAGTAAAGGATTAGGGTATTCAAGTAGCTGGTAGGTTAATGGGGCACAGTGCATACCTTTGGGTCCTCACTTCTTTTATTTGAAAAACAAACCTGCTTCCAGCTCATCTGTAATATTACTTTTCATACAGATGCCTTTAATCCTGCAGCTTCCATTTTTGGAGCAAACAAAGATGTGTTTATTTTCCTTATAAACCCTTTTTCGTAGCTTCAGTGCAGTTCATGACTGAGACAGAGCAGGAGGAAGTGTGCAAATGGCAACTTGTCAAAGGCAGCTTGGAGCCACAGGCTGGGCACCCCCAGCATCCCTGGGGGCATCCCTGCTTGATTCCTTGGTTCCAGCATGGTCCCTGCACCTCCAGACAGGGAATCTCTGCTTCGTGGGCTACCCCAGGCTCTACACTCTTGAACATACACACATGTATTTATGTTTTACTAGGAAAGTGACTAATTTGTATCACTGGAACAATTTTCCCCCCAGGTGAGCATCTCCCCACATTTGAGCAGTCGAACTGATGCCTTGAGAAGGCTGACCTGGAACAGAGGCTAGATGGAGTTAAAGAGTAAAGTAGGGGTTTATTAAAAGGCCTCAAAGGACACACCTTGAGCAGTGCAAGAGCCCAGCCAGGGCTGCACCCAAGACCGACCCAAAAGGGCCACAAAAATGGATGACTGGTCACAGGATTTGTAGCTTTTATAAGTTTTGGTCCATTTGTATATTGGAGTTAATTGTCCAATTACAGCTTTTGGTTATGAAGTTCCATCCTCCTTGTTTTTCTCTCTTCAGTTCATCACTGTTTATACTTTTTGGGCCTGGATCTTGTAACAATTGTCCTTGGACAAGCTGCAAAAGGATTGTTCTGTCTGCCTACCCTGTGATGACGTTCTAACACTAAACACAAAGTTCAGAGTTACACAATAAAGCAGCGCAGAATCTGAGAAATATAAAAGCTAAGACTTAAGGCATCACCACCCACAACACTTATCAACTTCCCTTTGGAACCACTCCATTTTGGGAGAGGTGTTGCATTGCAGAAAACCAATACGGGGAGGCCATGCAGTGGAAGCCATGCTACAATGTGAAAAATTGGCACATGTCTTGTAGAGGAATTCCAGAGGGAAGTAAGCTGTGGGAAACCTTGCAGTCCTTCCCTAATCTCCCTGCTGTTCTCCTTTATTTGAAGTGTCTTTCCTTCATCTCCGTTTGCTGTGGATTTGGACTGAGACAGCTTTCCCCTTCTTCCTGCTTCCCAGCTTTTCCTCTCCCCTTGCCCAAAGGAGTTAAGGGGCTGTAGGCCTGGAAGGTCTGTGCAAAACACAGGAAAGAATGACACTCCCCCTTTTGTAAGCCTTTTTTTGTGTCATTTAGGATTTTCAGGGTCTGCATCTTGTTTCCTTTTTTTTTTTTTTTTTTTTTGTAAATATTCCCAAAATTAATGCAGTGATTCAGTGTGCCTAAATACTAAATATCTGTGTCTGTGTGTCTTGGGGTGATTTTATGGTAATACTGTATTCCCCTATAGTCTGCTTTATGCCCAAAAATGGGTCCTGTAGCTTTCACCTGCCCAGTCAAAATAGTTCTCCAACACATTTATTGCTGAAAGAAATAAGAGATGAGCTCTGTCCAATTTTGCAATATTTAATAATTCTATACATTATATTATTGTATTATTATATTGTATTATATACATCTGTTGTTCCAGACAGAAATCTCAGATTGATTACTGAGCACCCAACCATAATCTCTGCAAATACTTAGGTTTGCAGTAACAATGTTTACAGCACAACAATTAACCAGCCCAATTCCCCCCCAATCAATTATTTTATACAGTGCCTCAGCTGATTTAATCAGCTCCCTTCATAACAAGTCTTTTTTAAAACAAATGGATTTCCAGTAGGATCAGATTTTCTTTCCAACTCTTTTTATTGCTGGTTTCTTTAGAGATGATTTAATTGCTGTAAAAATGGTCTTCATACTTGCCATTCTTGATTATATTGCTACTTAACAAGCTGTATTAAATGCATGAAAAAATCAAATCAGAAAATTGAGCACTAGACAGTAGCAAGGAAATTTTTTTTTTACTTCAGTACTGTTGCCACTGATGGGAGATGTGTGTAATCAAGTTATTTTTGTATTATCTTCAAGCTGGGAGGAAAAGAAAACTTGGGATAATGAGTAATTTGAAAGTAACTACGCAGCAATGCCACCAAAAATGATGGCTCATGAGTTGATCTCAGTCTCTGCCTCCTCAGCTGAACCATTTCCTTTACCTTGTGCCTGCCATAGGAGCATGTTCATCTGGAGCCTGTCACAGTGTGGGGATTCCCAGGTATTTTGAATGGAATTAGTGCTGGGGAAGGGGCCTCTCTGTGGTGTTGTTCACAGGGGTCCCAGGATGAGGGAAGAGATGAGAATGTTGACTCCATGTTTAAAACTATACTAAAAGAATAGAAGAAAGGAAAAGAAAAAGAATGGAATGAATCATAATAAAATCTTGTGACTGACCAGAAAGTCTGAGCCAGCTCACTGTGATTGGCCATTAATTAGAAACAACCACATGAGACCAATCACAGATGCACCTGTTGCATTCCACAGCAGCAGGTAATCATTGGTTACATTTCATTTCTGAGGCCTCTTAGCTTCTAAGGAGAAAAAATCCTAAGGAAAGGATTTTTCATAAAACATGTCTGTGACACCTCTCCTTGTCTCATCTTGGCAAATCTTCTGCAGACAGAGCAGTTGTGGGTACTGTGCACCAGATCCAACCCCCAGTGGGCACCTGGGCTGCTGGGCAGCTGCTGGGGCAAGTTTTGGATGGTTTCATGATCCTAAATCGCTATAACTCCACAAAGAGCTGTGGCACATGGCTGCAGTGGTGTTCTCCAGAGAGGGGAGCCCTCTCATTCCCCTGGAATGGAAATCAGATGCCTCTGAGGTCCATAAATGAATGTGATTCTGATGTGTTTCATCCTGGGGTGGCTGAAGGTAATGGTGAAGCCCTTGGGACTTCCTTGGTACATGGTGAGGGCTGGAGAACCCCAGCCTCTATGGGCAGCTCCTAAACATCAATAGTTCTGTCTGCTACCATGGTCCTTGTTGTGCCCCCACTTTCTTTTCTGCAAGGAGGAAACCTCTCCTGCAAGGCCTGAGCCTTGCAGACACCTCCCCTGTGGGAAACAGGAGCAAATCCCACATGCCAGGCAGGATGCAGCTGCACAGGAGATGGACAGTGTGGGACAAAAGTGTTGCTCTCCATCAGAAATGTGAGTGGCACCGTTGGGATGTAATAACTTGCTCAGAAGGAAAAGTTTCTTTCTAATGTCCATCATTTAATGGTTGGCTTATGCCCTTGAAGTGAGATGTCTTATATGTGTAATTCAGCCACGGTAATTTCATTTTAAAAGTACCCTATTTGATTAAGAAGCAGCCATGAAGGCAAATATCAAATCTCCAGACGGGAGCTTGGCCTGGCAGGAGAGGATGAGAAGCTGCCATTAAGTGAGGCCGGGCTGGGGTGTCCCCTCTGACCAGGGACACAGTGTGGCACGGCCCATTTGTCACAGCAGGGATATAAATTTGTTTTCTAGCACTGACATGGAGTTGTCCTTTCCTTTATTGCAGCAATAATTTCTTAAAAATACCATTAAAAAAAGACAAAAGAAGCGTCGAGAGCATGAAACTTGGATCTTAATTTTGTCCTAACCTTTACAAAATGGATTGAATAACTCCTGCAGGTAACACCCAGCAGCATTTCTCACTTGAGTGTTGATGGCCCATCAAGGTGCTTTAGAAGGGGAAAGCTCTTCACCTTGTGCTGGTCCTTAGAGCATGAAATATCGCGTGCATTTAAAGAACAAAAAAAGATGATACAGTGTGGTAGAAAAGCAGGGAAATGTTAAACCAGTCTTGTTGAACTGGAGATCTCTTTGCCACTGAGGTGGGGTTTTTAAACTTGTGAATTATTATGCTGCCTCTATAAAATACTGAGATGCTCCTGTGTGATGGTCCAGCATCAAATTATCAGAGGAAGTGGAGGTGTTTTCCATCAGAGATGAAGAATTGCTTCTCCCAAAGGTTTATGGCAAAGCTTAGTGCCTGGCAGTGTGCTGGCACCCAGGACACAGCTCTGGGCAGGAGCCTGGGATTTAGAGAGCTCCTGCTGGTGGTTTTATGGAGCAACCTGTGCCTGTGAAATGCTGCCTCTGAAGCAGCTGGACACATTTTAAACAAAGTGAGAACAACTGCACAGTGTGGAAATGGCCTGGCTAAGGTGATTTTATCCCAGCACACCTGGAGGGTGGTTTTGCTCTTCCAGCTAATTGGAGGTTAATAGTTCAGAGAGGTGGTAGAAGGGTACAAGAATAAGGTGGTTGTTCCTTGGAGTGAACTCCCTGGGGAAACCAGTGCATTTTAAAATAAGACAAAACATTTTCAGCCTGTGCATCTGCCCTAGTGAGTCACAGGTGCCTCTTGAGGTGTGTCTTCTGATCCATGAAGTGGGGAACAAAGAGGGGAGGTGGGATGCTGTGTTGGGAAGTTAACCATCACATTTCTGTTTTCTGAAGCTACATAGGAGTGAAATCAGGCTGATAGCTGCTGAATTGCTCCAGAAGGACTGGCCTCTCCCTGCATTCCCAGACTGGTCTGTCCTTGGTTCTATGGTCTGCTCCCAGCCTTGCCTTTGTGTTTTGGTGCTATTTCCATCCTGGAAGAAGCCACACAGTGCTTCTGGCCCTGTTAAATGGCTACAGCACATTTTGCTGTAATAAACTGGTACATCAGTAGTGGTGGAGAGGCTGATTTAAGTGCCTTTGCAGGAAAAGAAAAAAGAATTGCTTTTGTTGGTTCTGTTATTTTTGTTCTTTTTAAAGGAGGGAAATGAAATACAAACACAATAGAAATTTGAAATACAAATACAGTTTACAAAGGGAGAATGTGTATTTGTTCAGCAGCTTTCTTAGTTCTTCTTTGCGCTGTTTAGCCCCCCACAAGCAGCCTGTCCCAGCCTGTGAGAGTGCTGACCAAGGCTGTTTTAATAGCAGGAGATGAGAGGCTTGAGACACAAGTGCTTTAATACATAAAAGGAGGAGGTCCAGTTGGAAACACCTGGGAAAGAGCATTTGTGCAAGTTTTTGGGCAGAACAGCCTGTACCTGGGAAGGGAACAGAGGTAGCCGTGCTGGGGATGGCTCTGGGGATGCATCAGCTCCAGCTCAGGCTCTGGTTTCTCAGCCCTCCTTCAAGGTTCTCCCAGGGATTTCCCTGACTCCTCTGCATTGGAGTTTCTCTGCATAGTTTAACTGCTCTAACATTTTCTGTATAAAGAGTCAAGCTCTGTGTGTGATCCTCTAAATCATTAAAAATGGGTCAGTGAGCAGTTTAGCAGGAGCACGAACTGGAATCTCCCTGTTTTCTGTTTATCATCATTCATCTCCACCTGCTTGCCTTCAGAAAAAAGGGCTCTGAGTAACCCTCTGAGCTGTTACTGCTGTTGTACTGAAACCTGCTGTGTGTGGGCACTCAGACACGTGCCACCATGCTGCAGGTACACAAAATGCTCACACAGCTTCTGTTCAGGGTTCACAAGCATAAAAACCACAACAGATGATATTTTTAAGCCCTCTATCTCTGTGGTGTTTACCTGGTAAAAAAGTGTGATTTGGGGATGGGTTTCTTTAGCCTGGTGACCTGCTGGTGAGTTTTGTGCTCTAGATTTTGTGTTGATGCCTTGTGAAGGCTGACCTAGAACAGAGACTAGACAGAGCTAAAGAATAAAGTAAGGATTTATTAAGAGGCCTCAATAGATCCACCTTGGGTAGCACAACCCAAAATGGCCACAAAAATGGATGACTGGTCACTTTTATAAGTTCTGGTCCATTTGCATATTGGGGTTAATTGGCCAATTACAGCTTTAGCCCATGAAGTCCCATTCTTGTTTTTCTCTCTTCAGTCCATGTTGTTTATGCTCTTGGGCCTGAGATTTGGGTCATTTGTCCTTGGTCCCCAGCTAGAGAAGAAATTGTTTTCACCTACTGTCTGAAGAGAGCTCACCCATCCCATAAAATGAAACCTAGACCCACACACTAAAGCAGCTCAGAATCTGAAAAATAGAAAAGCTAAAACCTGAGGCATCAGTGTTGTACTGAAATGTGTAAAAGTACAGCTCAGTGGTAGGCCCAAAGTGCTGGTCAAGCATTTCTCCTGCTCTTGTAATGGAAGGTTGGTTGTCAAGCTGTTTTAAGTGCAGAGGTGTGGCGCTGTAGCCATGCAGATCTCTCCAAGGAAATGGCTTTTCAGTGGAGCACCTTCAGTGTTGGGGCTCCTTCCCTATCTCAACCTGAGGAAGACCTGTAGTTTCCAGGGGTGAAGAGCTGAGAGAGGGGAGCAGGAGGAGGCTGGAATCTGCTGTGATGCTTTTGCCAAGAGTGGGGAATTGGTCCCAAACATGGGACCAGTCACCAGTCCAGCCCAAACCAGCCCAGCCACCTCTTCAATGGAAGCTGGCTTGTCTGTGTGCATTGGGTGGGGGGAGCCAAATTAATCTCTAACAAGAGTAGGCACAACCCACTGCTGGAATTAATCACTTATTTATGGTGGTGACAGCTTTAAGCCCAAGTTCCCAAGTTCATTTAAACACCACTAAAATCTTTGGCACGTTTTAAAATACAGTGAGAAACACGTTTGTGGAAGAAAATTCCACAAGGAGTCATTAAAGGCAGAGAAACAACCTGTGGCTCAGGAGGTTCTGCTCTGTGAGCTGCTAGGGACTGGTGGAGGATGCTGAGAAATATGGAGAGATGAATGATGGTACCTGCTCCAAACACATCTCTGGTGTACCTTCATCAGAACAGGATGAAGCCAGCTCAGGTTTTCCGTGTGCTCTCTTGTTGCCATTTGGGCTGGTTTGGGAGCTCTGTGTTCCCCAGTCTCACCTCCACACCTCTGAATTCCCCCCAAAAACCCTTTCTTTCAGCAGATTCCTTACCTGTTATCAGGGGAGTGTTTAGAGCAGATAAAGATCTCAGGAACCTTGTCTGGGAGACTTGTGGTGATAATTAAAGCAGTGCTTTCCAGCCCTCTGCTGCTCTTGCTTGGATTGCTGGAAAATGGGGAACAAGGGCTTGTGCCAGCTGAGAAGGAACCCTGGAAATCCATGTTCATTGATCTGGTGTGTTTCTTTGACCTGTTGGTGAATCCTTGCTGATGGGTGTGGGTACCTGCCTTGTGAAAACCTCCAGGTAGGGAAGAGATGGCCCAACAATTGTAGGTCATGTTTATTTTACCTTCTGTCCTAAAAAAAAAAAAAAGGCATCATTATATAATGTAATTTAATTATCATAAACATGCTGTAAGTTGATTTATTTAATTATGGGGAAGGGTCCTTTTTTTTTGTTTTAAATCTTTTGGGATTTAAAACAAAAAAAGGAGCCAACTGATTTGTCCTGTGCTGCAGTTATGGATGAAGCAGCACAAAACATCCAGCTCAAAAGACAGGCACAGAGGTTGTGGCTGGTAATCACAGTGACACCAGGATGAGTTTTTCTAGACCAGCTGTGAAATTGTGCAGTAAATTACATTGCATGTGATATATTATTCCCTGGTTTGGTAAATAAACTTCCTGATGGAGGCCCAGTGAGGCAACTGCAGGGAGCTGTGGCAGACTTGGGTAGCCAAGTGCTCCAGGAGGGGTTCATGTGCTCACACAGCTGCAGTTGTCATCTTTGCTGCCTCTTCCTTTGATCATCCCTTCAGCTGGGTGCTTTCCCCTCTCTTCCCAGCTTATTCCAAGTCTGTTGTGTCTTAAGGCCCTGCATTGCCTGTTTCTGCAGGTGAGCAAGGGCTGCCTGGCTCATGGCTGGTGCATGGAGGATGCTTCACTCTCTGATCCCTTCATCTGCCCCTGACATGGGTTGATCTCAACCCAGAACTAGTCTCTGATTCTTTTAGCTGCTCATGGCATGGGTGATCCCTGCCCAGAACCACTCTGATCCTTCCATGTGCCCATGGCATGACTGATCCCAGCCCAGAACCACTCTGATCCCTTCTGCCTGTGGCATGGCTGATCCTGCCCAGAACCACTCTGATCCCTCCATCTGCCCATGGCATG